AAAAATCTCAACAAAAAACGGTTCCGTAAATTAAAGGTGTATCAACAAGAAAAGAAGTACAGACTTTTTAACAAAGGCTGTGTAAAACGATGCTAAATGTCTGTTGGAAAAAAAAAAAAAAAAACAGAGAACATTCTGATTAGTGAACGACTAATGGCAGACTCTTTTTGAAGTATCCAATGTCTCAAACGAAATAAATAATAATGAGCGTTTGATTGACTAGTTTTTCATGATTCACTTATCTTTACAATGCGCACGAAACCTTTACAACTGAAATTTGGTGCTAAAAAAAAAAACGAGAAAAACTAAAAATTAAACGACTCGAAGACAGAAAAATGACATTGGCAAATACCCAACTCACAAGGTTTTTGACCACTTTATTACTTGAAGTACCAAATTTTTTCTCCTGTACTTATTTTGCGTTAAATAATTGAGGAAATTCTTGTCGGTGCTTTTCATGAGATCACCATACTGCTACCAACTTTTACTATGATTGCCTCCCAATATCAATTTATCTTTATCATCTCAACGGCAAAGCTTGAGGAAAACAAAAGTGACAGTGAAAAGACAGCAGGAACAGAACAAGTTAACTGTTTTCCAAAAACTTAGCCATTTGAGAGATCAATAGTCTAGCTAAGATAAGTCTCTTTTACTGAATATTAAAAAATTGTTCGACAAAAAATACAATAAAAGTTGATTGTTAAACGTTAATCTGAAAAAAAAAAAAAAAGTTAGCATAAAAGTTTTAAAAATCTTTTTTTGCTGATTGATGAGACCGGTCATTTTTAGTTTAAAAAACAACAAGTCTTCAACAACGGCGTTTACTGAAAATAAATATTTGTTGTAAATTTAAACTTAGTTGTCCAAATCAAGTTCCCAGGTGGAAGATTTTAAACGTTAAATGACTTTTTTTTTTTTCTTGCAAATAGACGTAAAATTACAATTAAATTAAACTGTAGTTAAATAGGCAGAAACAATTAAAAAGTGCTTAAACTTGCAATTACAATCGTTTTATATTGTAACCAATAAATTATTTAAAAAATTAGCAAAATAGTGGACAATAACTTGAAAAGTGATTGGTACAAATAAATTTTTTATAATTTAACCAAAGTTTAAATCGATGCTGTCGTAGAAGAGAAATTAGATGACTAACACATTATGAAAACAATAAACAACAGAGTCTGTAACCAAAGAAGAAATAAATTGTGGTAGAAAACAGTTGAACAGCATGTTTGAAAAGCTTTAGATTGCTGTTCAACCATCTTAGAATTAGTTGTATCCAAAGCTACCCAGTTTTATCCCAAAATTTTTCCATCACTGTCATATGTGTATTGCCCTCAAAACGCTGCTCTCAATGAATGACACATGTGTACAAAACCCTTTTTGCTTTTCTATCTTCTACCAATTGTCGATTCTGAAATACTTTCTCTTAGTGAACTTTCAGAAGGTACAATTCCAC